CATTTCGCTGCTGCACACACACAATTTGACGCATTCTCGAGTTTCAAGCATGCGGCATTGACTAAGGTTACGACAAAATGTGGAGCTTGGAATATCCCGTGTGCCATAAACCATCAAAAACGGTGAATTTTTCGTTGGTAAATAAGACTCTTGACGTCTGCGTTATACGAAGCTTAGGCTTCGTAATTCAACATTACCTTTTTCCATGTCATATGCGCCCGACTTTATGTTTGACTAAAGTAAAGCCGTGAAAAACATGTCAATCGTTTGCCTGTCTGTATTTTCCTTTCTACTAAAATTAATATTTTCTTTAGTGCAAGTGTCACTCTATACTTAACAACGCTGGTTTCGTTAATACAACAAATTTTTTGTTTGCTAGCAAAAGTTATGGGATGCATGGTCGAAATGACCTTTTCTGACTTCAAACATCACTAGTAATTAAATGCCTTTACGTTTTTTGGACAATTTCTTTGATTTTGGTACTCTTAAATGCAAACGTTAGCTTTAGCTAATCACTGAACTTTAAAGCAATGATCTGTATTCTTATTCCACTTTGCTGCATCGGGCTAATGATATTTTTAAAGCAAGGCATTTTTATGCCACATGGTTAACAACAAATGCTTTGAACAACGCGCTGTTGACAATTAATTTTTTTAGACTCTGACTTTTGTAACAATTCTCTCTGGTATTGAGCAGAATATAAATTTAGGCAAATTCCTCTTGATTGCAATTCGAGCCAGCTTAAAATTAAATCCTAATAATTTTAAAAGCTGCTTTTTGTAAGGCTTACATTTTCGCATTAAGGATGGTTATTTTTAATCAAAATATCGTTTCTTTTTTTCCATGTAAATAAACCAGTAATTTACTTTAACGCGATTTTGAGATTTTGGGTTTTCAACTTTACTTATGCGCATTTTTCACTGTTTTAGGAATGCCACTATCATCCGCTTTATGCAATCAGCAAAAAATTATAAATGCTCCCTGTCACAGCGCGTCTAAAAGGCCGTATAAAGGGATAGATGTTAGGGCGGTGATGTATGCATGCCAATAATGGTTTATTCAAGTGGGGATCGGTTTCGCGTTTCCAGCATTTCTAACATGAACGGCAACCTACGTCGAACTGCTTTTGTTCATCGCTAACTTAAGAGCCTAGCTTTATGGCGCAATCCCATGTTTCTTCTCCGATCAAGAAAACAGCAACCATCGTAGTTGCATTTATCAGTTTGTTGATTACTTGCAAGAGATGGAAATGGATGATAAATTTCACCCAAACATGGCTTTGCAACAGATACTGGGGCAGGCTGAGGGTAACAAAAGTGTCAAAAGTCTGAATGGTCTATAAAAAAATTTTGTACTACCATTTTGACTGGTTTTTCAAGTTCATCTTCATAGATTTAAAAAGCAAAAGTTTTTTTTTTACTTTCCATCAACACCGCATGTGTGATTCTTTGTGATTGGCCTTGCAGCGTTTCTTCTGTGCGTGTTTGCGTGCCTTCTTGAAGTCTCCATCGCCTTCTGCGTTGACCTGAATGCAGAGATGGACGAATGTGCCCGGGTTAATCGGTTCCCTCGTCTTTCGAGCAAACGAAGAGGCTTTGACTTTGGCTTTGGATCCCTCAACGACACCGAATACATGTGTCGGTATGGCATTATACTTTTTTTGGAGGTCGTGACACATTTTTGTTTGTTCTAACTAATTCTAATTGCCTACCGATTGATCCCCCATAAACAATTTAATTTTTCTCCTAATTGATGTTTAATTGCACAAAATATATCACAAAGGAAATACGGTAATAGTTTATTAACTCTTTTTGGCCCCCTTCATGCCCATTTCAGTTGCATAATTTTTTTGGATTTTTAAAGAGCTATCTGATAAAAGGCGGCAACTGACCGGACACTTGGATGTAGCTGGGAGAAGTGAATGCACAAAATAGTATAAGTATCGTTGAACTAATGTTAAAGTAGACCAAAAATAACTGTGTGCATTTCAATTATTGACCGTAGTAATAGGCTACAAACACACTTTTCTTACTACTACTACTACTAATACTACTACTATTTCTGTGCTAACTCTGTCGATAATACGAAATTGAATTCTCTCTCAGAAATTAAATTCAGTACCGCTATTGTCTTTGAGAAATCGTGAAGCTAATCTTCAAAATTTCTAAGCAATTTGAGAAGGTCGCTGAATCGTACGCAGGAACTTTTAAAACCGGGTTCAAAGTGGTAAAAAATGTTGGCTTTGCGTTTCGGAGGCTAAGTTAATGCTTTCGACTTCTAGCAACAGAGTCGATAAGGTGGACCGGGTGTGCATTGATGCACGCAGGATTTCATCAGCGAAAGTTCAATTCTTATAGATCAGTACATTTTTGGAAGCAAACAGTTGAATGGAGTAGTCGGAACTGATTAAAACCAGTACCGATTCCGCATCTAACTGCACCCATGTAAATAGACTTGGCTAAGTTGCCCGCAAAATTAACGTACTTTGTGGCTAAGGCAAAGTGAAGCATGGGTTATTTTATTTATGTACTACATTAATTTACACAATTGATGTTCAGTATTTTCATGAAACCCCTACATACTAAGAGCTACACACATTTAGGTCCTTCTAACTAGTAATATCAGCAAACTCAACGCCTGGGTTAAGAATATTCTCTGTAAAAAACTTTTACATAAATATATAAGCAGCTCAAGTCACTTTATTTCTGATTAAGGGCTAAAATTTGCAGCAAGTTTTTCGAGTAAGTCTGGCTGGAGTTATAACTTGCATAAGGATGCATTCGATTAATTATTTAGACAATAATGCCATTGACTTCTGTAGTAAATCAATGTTTGCGTTTGGTAGCACCACAAACCGAGGTCACCTTCAAAAGCTTTTCCTTGTTTTAATATAGTGGCTGGATATACACAAATTCGTGAAGTGAACTTTAAGTGCCAGTTAGTTTTTTAAGTGTTTTTGACTTTAAATGAGTGGTTTGTTGACACACCGTTTACTGCTTAAATACAATTCAGATTCTATTTATAATATAGACATTTTTCCGTGTCAATCATCACTGTCATAGAAACATGAGCAGTTTGCAATCGTCTGGGCAAGTTTTGGTGAGAAAGTTTTTCCATCAAATTGGCCCAATGACACGTACTTGATTTTCATTTCATTAGCGAACTGTTTTGAATATCGCGAATATCATCTGAAACAATAAAATTACTATCCAGTTAAAAGAATGACAGCATTGAAATTGCAAAACACGGTAAACAAAAAACGTTTTTTTTTTCAGATTGCCAGGTTATAGCCAACAAAGTGTACAAAATTAAACGTTTTCTAATAATTTTAGTAACGATTACCCTCACAAACCTCGTAAAAAGGTTATAAGGTATTCTGTGGGCACGTGTTTGCGTCATATCTCACGTGCTCAATCTATGATGAACGAAAATTAACCACTACGTGACACCTGCAGTTCATATTTGGATATCAATTTTTCCACATTTTGGGTAGTTGAGCTTGACTGAGTAAGGAGTCTTTTTTGGTAAACAAAACCTAAACAGTAATCCCTACGGAAATCCGTCTGGTTTTCTTGATGCTGGAGAATTAATCTGTGCGCTAACATGACTTGATCCCTAATGATTTCAATGATGCCAGCGGAAGTTATGATTTCCTGCAGCCCATCATTTGAAAATCATTTTAAATTTAACTTTGAAAACAATTTAATTCTCATTTCAGATGTTACCTTTAATATTCGCTGTTTTTGCTAAATTCTACGGCTTTCCAATGAAACACTAAACAAGTTATTTGAGGTTCATTTGCGTCCCCTTTCATTTGCTGCATTTGTTAAGCAACCCTGAGCAATTAGTTTCACCATGAGCCAACCCTCAGATTGTTTGACGTACTTAAAGAAATTATGAGACATAAAAATTTGATTGAACAAGGTGCAGTTAATACTATCGTCAAAACATTTAACTTTCGCAAACGTGTTTTGGTGGGAATATGTTGCAAAGTAAACAATCCAATTCAATGGGACATTTCAAAACCACTCAACAATTGACTTCAGGTTTTCATTGCCACTGCATAAAATTAATGATGCTTTCGTACTCCGAAATAAGAGTAAATACTTCACTGCTCCAAGACATGCACCTTACGATAACGATCCGTATCCCATGTCCAGTTTCTCCTTTACGCTTCAAGATCAGTTGTTTACTAGTGATCTGCAACACGTTACAAATACTGTACAAGACGGACATTGAAAAATTATCCCTATTTAATCTTTCTACTTTATGAATTAGTTCAAGCAGATAAAGCTCTCGGGCTCCTCATCGGCTTTTAATCAGTCAAACTTCGCTGTTTGTTGAAAGTCTCATGTTATGCATGCACGTTTTAATGTTTTCTTATGCCTTTAGAACAAAATTCCACATCAAGATAATTCAATGTGTAAAGGAGCGCTGCGAAGCCACATTCAGATCCTCGTCTGGGCCGGAGTTTATGAAAGTCATGTGGTCGCACACTCTCAACACCAGACGATCCGAACGCGCTGCAGCATACATCTGCCGACAGCACAATCTGAGAAGTAAGCAGCAAATAGCAGTCTTTTTAGGTTAAGAACCATTTTAATAACATACAGTTTCTCGGTAGGACCACAAGGCACCGAAAACAAAACCCTTTACAACATCATAGTAAGATATTCCACTCGCGTAAAACATGGTTTAGATTGACCCTAAATGTTACAAACAGTAAGGCACATTCGCAACTACAGGACATTCCACGCTACGCATTTTGTCGTAACCTTAGTCAATGCCGCATGCTTGAAACTCGAGAATGCGTCAAATTGTGTGTGTGCAGCAGCGAAATGCCTTCATCTCCAATGACCACTTCCTCTTCTTCTTCTTCTTTCCATTACGACGCCAATCGCCTGATCAAGTGTAACCTGGCAGTGTTCCACAAGTAACTTCCTTCAGCAGGTTTGCTGCGCACGCAGTGGATCTGTACGTGGATTCGTCTTGAATATGCTGCTTGGAATGAACTTACGCACAATGCGTCAACAAGCACTTCCATGGTGCTTGTGGTGAGGAGTAGAGTTAGTGGGAGGTGAATCGCGTAACTTCCTTCGTGCTTGAATATCGAAAGCGAACTTTGCGAAACATGCAGGTCCTAATTTGCGGTGTCACTAGTTGGAAGTTAGATTTCAAGTAGTGGGTAGAGGATCAGCGTGACAGATGCACGGGCTCAAAATCGCCTTGCTTAGCCTCAATGGGGAACAATTGAAGGCGGATATCATGTTCACGCATATGTGTTGGCAAGAGAAGCGCTTGAACACGCCGTACTGCGGAATGAGGGGTGAATCAGATGCTCCGTTTGATCCTACGTGTTTTAGTTTCTGTGGAAAGCACACGTTACCGCAGACTGGTAGTCGTTGTCTCATACAAGTCATTTCTTGTGGTGAGATGTTTGCAGGAATGGATTCGGGTTTACAAGGCATGTCAATGAACAAACCCACGCACTCAATCAGTGCAAGGATTATGCACAGATGCAGGTTGGTTGAAATGCGACAGAATGACCATCTCAAATTAGCTGATTCACGTTAGGGCGCACTCGATAGGACAGTAACGTGGGAGCAACTGATCACAATGAATCGACGCCGAATCGATGGAGAAGCCGCGAATGAACTCACACGGACACTGTACCCGAGACCTTTCAGCCGTAGCATCTGAGTGAGGGAAAACCCGTCTGGGACACAACCTGTAAACTTTAAATTCACTCTACACGCACATCACCATATTGCAGTACAGAATTGTGAGTAATATTATGTCGAAAAATGTAGACTCATCTTTGTAGACTGATGGTGCAGCATCTGGTGCTCTGATGTAATTTGTTTTGCAAAAATCAAAAAATCTGAGCATTGTATAACTTTTGCCTATTACGTCATGTTATCAAATTGAATAAGCGACATTAAGCAATCGAAAATAAGTTTTAGGCAGCTTTATCAGAACTATTTTTCATCCGTTTTGCAGACATATCTTCAGATACTCTGACTACTATTCAAGAATCAAATAGAATAATTTTTATATCGGCAGTTGGTTTTTTTTTGCAGTAGTGCATTCTGTTTTTGATCACAGAAGAAAACTTTTTTTTGTATTTCAGTTGAAAACAATTAAGCAACCTATGTCGGTTAATTGTGAAGTAATTCACTCCATTATTTTCATTTTACTACTCATTGTACCTATTAGCTCCCGTTAATACAATCTTTTTTACATTACCATTTATTTCAGTACCTAAAAATTTATTTTGTAGGAAAAAAACCAGTATCGAAGGTACTGTAACATTTTTGTTTCCTTAGAAATATAAGATTAATAGATAATTAATCGACTCAACTAGAAACTACGTTTATCATGGTGCTTTTCATTGATCAAAATAGAAGTCACAGTCGATCGGCTTGCTGAAGCGGTAGTTATATGTTTTAGAAAATGTTAAACTGTACATACTGACTCGTCGCATCCTTTGCAACTCTCGTCATCCACCGTCTTGAACTAAATTGCAGATTAAACTAACTGTTAAACCTCATTCCACAATTGTCAAATTGTACCTACGAAAACACATAAACAAGCTGTCAAAGTGTAAAAAAGTGATTAACTACACCTTAATCAGTAGCTCAACAAGCCGAGTATTGAAGTATTTAAAATTTGAATTAAGTAGCTCTATATAAGTGGGATGCACATGCTTATTTGATTTTATATTTTGAAAAAATGAAGAGAAAATGCGATCCCTAATTTTAATCTGCAAAAAGAGTTTTTTTTTAAATCTCAAATTTACAAGAGTGACAAGTTTTCGCAAACTGTTAAGTTGTCCACAAAGCCACTTATTTGAGCCACAGTTCCCTGCCCCTTTAAAGTAACTATGGGTAATAAATAAAATTTATTAAAAGATACATGAAATAATGATCACTTTTTGCACAACTTGAACTTGCAGTAAATATCTATATGTATATACATTTATGGATATTGATGCAGTTATACTCACCCACACTTTGCACAAAAACCAGTGTCCTATAGTCTTTAATTTTGACTTTTTTGATTGACTGCATTTTTGGTTATTACATTGGTACATTTTTTTCCTCTCGGCGAATAAGCATCCGCAGTGGTGCTCAGTTATGGAGGACTGAATTTGAATAAGTATGCTAGGCGAAGTGATTCAGTCTTACGAAACCAACTAGGGTACGCTTACTTAAAGCCCAATCGCAAACGTCCCTTATTTTGGCCAATGGAATCTAATGTAAGGCGTGAACACTAGATTACAGTGATAGAAAGCCTTAGTGACTTGAAGTACGCTATTCCTTAATGTCACAGGCAGTATCGACGAGTGATTTGGCTACAGCACTTTAATTTTATGATTTCAAGCAAAACATTTCCAAAATTTCATTCTAAAGGTTCACTTTTAAAATGGTTACTTTAATCCTAATGAGTTAATGTCTGTGAGGCTTTTCGTTTTTATTTTAAGCCATTGTTTTTTTTTCAAATTTAAATTGTTAGTCCGTTAAATTATGATAAATGTCTTCCCGACTAATTATGCAGGTTTTTTCAGGTTTTCTTTGTGACCGGAGAAGCACGACACAAAGACGGAGTTGGAAAAAGTTTGATGAAAGCTTGGACAGCTTTTAAAAATTTGTCTGGGTTAGTAACAACTTTTGTTGCATAGCAACTGCAAATTCGATTGGTAGATTGTATAGCTTAGAAGCTTGGAATACTTGTGATGGCAATTTTGGTAAAAGATCTTGTTTACTAAACTTCAAGGCTTAAATAAATTACACGACCCATAATCGTGTGAGGCTCACTATAAACCGGTAGTCCTTCTTACTGTTTTGAGGTATGCAAACCTATGTACTCAAAACCCCCTTTTAAAAAGTTTACATTTAAAACTAATTTTATGGGTTCACAAAACTTTAAAAGCACATTAAAACTCGAATGAAACCAGCGGTTTTACTGGAAGCACTAGCTGTAAAAATGAGGAAACTCTTTTTGGTATAAAGTTGTTCTTAAATTAGACATTTTTTCCGGGCTCTTATTACACTAGTTTGCATGGATTGTAAATACGAAATAAAGTTTGCTTTAATTGCAGTCAGTGACTATAGAATTTAAACCCAGGTGTTTGAAGTAATCGTTTGAGATATATTATATATTTGTGCACTGAATTGTTTTAAACACAATTCGCTTTGATGACCACACTCTCAACTAAAGTTGCTGAGCTAACCTGCTAAGTCACAAATCCAACTGTTTGTCAAAGTTTCACGTAAGAAGCAAAAGGTCAAGATGGATAAGACCCGCAGATTGATAAATGGGACTTATGGGGTCCCAAATTATCTGCTAAAGCACTCCGTCTTGGTAATGAGCCATTTTAAACTAATAATTGGGTGTTAGTAACGTGGATTAGAAAAGAACTTGGAACGGTCCAAAGTGGCTGTTGGAGATCCAGCATTCCCCAGGACGGCTCATCACGAGTTAGGATTTCGTCATTGCTTACACGGTCCGCCAGGCACGCTGAGTCAGCGGGTGAGTCACTCACGGCGTCATCCTGACAACCCCATCTATGTTAATCCGCCTTCGTCCATCAGGTGAAGATTACCCTCGACTTATACAAGTGGTCATATTCTAACAAATCACTCGACCATTGGCCGAGACATTAAAAGCTATCTGCAGAAGGTCTTGATTTGTCTAAAATCAGCGTGCGAAGGTGGGATCTAGCGTCACACAAGGGATCTTGAGTACCTGGTCATGGCTAGAGCTAAACGTAAGTGGCTTGTGCAAACTAATGGGGAGCGCCACCTCAACCATGTATGTCTCAAATGATTGATTGTGAGGGTATCAACACTCAAGTCTTTAATTAACCTTAAAAAGCATCACTGTTCTGACCGATTTGCTGAGGTGAACCCAGCAAATTCAAAACAGCAGTTAATGGATGTCAAGATTTGAAAGATACGGGACCTAACAATTCTAATAAAAAGGCACCAAAAGTTGGCTGTTACATTGTAAAACTGCTCATGTCGACCCAAAAACCTCATGTTGAGTGCGAATACTTCTCCTGATAAGGGCAAAAAACTGAAAATGTACAGGTAAACGGATACAAGCCTGAATGTATTGTTCCCGACCCAATTACATAACCACTCTCACGATCTTGGGTCAAATAAAACTAAGTTTTTATATAAATTTCGGCCCCAATTTAAGCTCATATTACGAAACCCAGGAATCAGGCTACTGGCCTAATAATGCCAAGTAACTTAATCAAATTCTGTGGATAAATCATTAAAGATTAGAGCCAGACGCTTGTCCAGACAGGTTTCACTGAGCCAGATGGATAACGCTTAATGTAGCATAAAAACATGAATAGACACTAGGTGATTAAGTTTATTTACGTTTTGAACAGTCTAACCTTATGGCCTTGCATTATTAATTAATAGTTGCATTAACCTTTAATAAATTCCCATTACAACGAAAGTTATAATGATCCCTAGGGATGGTTCTGCATTAAAACACAAAATCAATTACAGTCACTACTAAAAAATAGGATCTATTTGGCCATTGTGAAAAAGAAGGGACACTCGTTTTTAACCTATAAAAAAGTGAGGGTGATGATGACTTGACCGTTGATTTGGCCTCCAGGCCTGAGCTTTGCATGATTCAAGTGCGCGGTAGAACACGGGGGTGCAAGAGTGAAATTGAAAGGTATGGAGTATTTGAAGATGGAGAAATGATAAGTTTGTGACGGGGAAATGTAAATTCCAGGACACATTAAATGAAATAAGACTAGATGCCAGATTATTTTCCCTTAGGTTTGAATTTAACGCACTTAAAAGGTGCATCTAGAGACGTCACAGTGGATTTCTAATGCACGGTCATTTTAGCTATTTAAGTAATCATGCACAGTAAACTTGTACTAATAGGTTTTCAGTGATTAAAATATGACTTAACTGCTGTTTCTCAACTAGCAGTCGGTTAGCCGTTTAAATCTCGTCTTTAACATATAAGAAGACAGCAGCGTCAGTTGTTGCTAACTGCTGCAGCAAAAGTCAATATCCCTGACACATATACTTGTGGTTAACTTCAAATGTAGCCAGAACTTATAGCAAAATGCTTGTAAATTGACATGAAAGTTATGACAGAGCCTTTAATCAAATCAGTTGGCAATCAGATCTAATTATTGTTAATACTGACAAATTCAATCAACTACATTTCCTAAGGACCACTCTGAAAAGTATATACATTTTGGATCAAACAAAAATTAAGTGCCTAGCACATGGTCAGAGTGTACGCTAGGAGAAGAAAGAGGGTTTAGTATTTACACAATTACTGGATTTATAGCTGACCCATGTAATTCTGGGGCAACTTGGTAGACTAATTAGCAAACTTGATTTATGAACAAACTGTTTTGCAATGCATGCTTCAAGTCTGAGCCTTGGCTTGCGGGAAACGTATTGCTTTAAATCTCTCTGTTTCGATTTGACAACACGGAAAGTAGTGGTTTTACTATTATACAGCAATCAGCTTATAGGCAATATGGTGCTTTTCACAATGTCAGACATTCTAGCCACGACAGTGGATGGAGGTGGTCGGCGACTGAATCTCCTGATTCCGACGCCTCTCATCTACTCGAAATATTTGCCTCGAGGGGTATTTGCGAATGAAATCTCTTTGCCAAATTAATTTTTGAAATTAAAAAAAATCGATTCCTTCAGAAACAATTCAAACACAAACTGAAACGTGGTTTGAAAAAAAAAGATGCCTGTGTACAGCATTGCCTTATGGCAAAGAACACGATAAAATCAATAATCGTCTTTTACCGACCCTCACAAACTAGTTTCGGCGTGATGGATAATTCTGTGGGCTTATAATGCAGTGTAGCACTTATCTGAAAACGCAGCATCAAAAACGGAAAGGTGAATAAAAGTAGCGACTTCTTTCCCGATTTCGAATTTGGTGAAGGAGGTTTTCGTTTCACAGATAGGTACCTTTAATGATGGCCTTGAATTTGTGATTAATGGAATAGCTAAGAGACCACGTTCGACCTCTCGACAAACAAATGGAGTAAAAAACTGACCCTATCCATAGCCAGAATAGAAAAAAAGCACAAGATTAAAGCTTGCGTGTTTCTTGAAACATTCTCGCATTAAGAAGTCCAAATACTATTCCACCTTAACAAAACTTGTGGGTCGAGTTATCATTTATAGGAGCCAATCATCAATATTAACTTTCGCACCTTCCACAAATGCCACCAAATACATTGGAAGTCATAAACAACATATTCTAGCAAAATTAGCATTCCTAACCGTCTTCATTCTATCAGAAGGCATTGTTGTGACATTGGCAGCAACAAATCGTCTCCAAATGATCTGCAATGCAAATGTGGTCTTCAGTTGAATGAAGTATCACATTTACCTGACTCCTGGGCACAGAGAAAGAGAACATAACTCGAGTCAATCTGGTTCCCTAAAAAGAACAACAAGGAGTGGTCAGACTGTGCACAAGTTGACTAATCTTTTCGATAAGTAAAGTGAACTTCAGCATGGTAAATATCTAAATATTGACACATTTCATGTGGCAGGAGTGTGGCGGTCATAGTATTCAACAAAACAGGAATTTGAAGTTGCTTAAATCGAATCTGCTCGAAACAAGACACTTAAAATGTCGTAAATTCGCTTCTGTTTACTAGTGTATCAGAAGTTGACAAGGGGCTTTCAGAATCAGTCAAATATTTGGATTGTTTGTAACAAATTGTGAGTAGAATGTAGCGGTAGTGACAGCGAATATTTCTACGTATTTACACGATCGATGCGGCTTTGGCGTTCCTGAGGCCATTAGAACAGAATACTTAGAGGTAAACAAATGCATTCTTGCTTTATGTGAGCGTGCACGCATCAGTAACGCTGTACCAGCAGCGGAAAGCCCCTTCGCGTGTCACGCTTACGTGACTTCGAGTAGGGCCTTTCAAGCCTCATTCATATAGCCTTATTCCAGGCAGGTTTGGCGTTTCGCTACCTCCAAGACTCTGCGATGTGCGTCAACAGACGATCGCTGACTACAACTGTGTTTCGCCACCACGACGACGAACTCGTCAAGGAGCTCACTGTTGCATGCGGCCGCAAGTGCCCTACATTCGCCATAATCCACCATCATTTCATGAACTTGAACCAGCATTTACGGAAGAGAAGTGACACGAAACTGTCGCCACAGCTCTGTGAACCTCCACCACGTAGCGCAAATTCTGCCTGTTCTGCTTTTCCACCAGACACGAGCCACCTATCCGCGTGGCAATGCAGGCGCGCACAATGCGCAAGCTACACAGAACAGCGTGTCGGAGCTTGACCGGCCTCGATTACGCCATCCACTGTATACAACCGTACCCGACGTCGCCCAACCAGTGTGCTGGAAGTGAGCAGGTTCACGCCCAAATTACACTGCAGAAACAGTGGACATGCAGAGGCTTTAGTCGATACTTGAAAGCTAAGTAGAAGTTGCATTTATTGGAAAGCATTTAAGGTACTAAAACTTCAAAAAATAGTTTCGCAGGTGACCTGTGAAATCTAAGACTTAAAATAGAAATTTAAAGTCCTGTAAACTTAGATATCCTTTACAGACTTACACAACTGAACTGTCCTATTTATAAATTAAACATTTCAACAAAAAATGATCACTAGGGTTCAAACACGTTGCGCCTATGAAGATACGATTTCGATTAGTTATCCTCAGTCAACCGCGAGAGGCCTTGCTTTGTGATAATTATTTCTGTAGGCCTCGGATATCTCACATTTCAAGGTTAACATCAGAATTTGTCCAAAATTTAAATGACCCATGAATGCTTATAGCTAAATAAGGCATAACATTACGACGTGGTTCTTCCAAATTATTTTCATTTTTACCTCATGGGGAGGATAGGGTTGAACTAATGTCATGACTCTGCTAAGGCCTTTTCAATTCATTTTACATGCGTAATGAATCCTCGTATATTTCTTTAAAATGCAACTAACAGACAACAATTTGTTGCTAGAAAATTTCACGAAATTTAGCCATGTGAACTTTTGCAGTCTGCGAAAATAGGGATTTAGAGTAGGTAAGTTAATTTGTAGCACAAAAGGAAACCGTTTTTGCTTTGTCCAAGCATTATAAAAGTACAAAACTCGGCAGATCACTCAACTTAAAAGTGAATGACATTACTGCTTCCGACAGGAATGGTAGCCTAGACAATTCATGGGGTTCGTGCTTGAATGGAAAACCCGTGTTTCGCTCTACTTCCTTCTACGCAATGGGTCAGATTTCCGTTTTGCTATGAAATGATGTGACAAAAATGAAAATCCTTGTCTTCAGGATATTTCAATTAACCTTCGAATGTGTGCTAGAACCCACATAGATAAATAGCGGCCTTTGAGTCGATGGCGCATAACAAAAAATGTTATCAAACCTTGAGTTAATCTCCCAGAACGCTAAAAGAGGGTGTGCAATTAAAAATAACATTTTAAGGTGTATTTCACCATTTGCATAAGAAACTGATCGCCCACACATCACATACAAATTCACGCTGGGGTCATGGTTCGCGCACCAAATTGTACTCCAAAATAAAACCAACAGGTTAAATGAAATAATAGCAAGGTCTCTTCCTGGATTGACAGCAAAATAAGTCAGTACCTTTGAAGAGATTGTATTGCAGCCGCCATAAGCAAAAAGCCAGTGGCGGAACGAAATACGGTGATCCTTAAGAGGACAAGAAATTGTGTTGCTTCCCGTGCACCAGAATCAAATCCTCACGTAAATAACAGGACACATAAATAATCCAAACCATATTCCGTTACCCAAAAGCTACATAGGTTTAAAGAGACAGCTGAGAGAAACCTCAGAGGGTCGGAGTACAAAATCGCGAATCTCGATTAAGAAAAGCGATGTAGGACGACTTGAACTTGTTTTGCAGCATTCACCCTTCGGTGTTGTATATTGACGTTTTTCAGGAATTTACATCGAGCAGATAGAATTTCCATATTCACATGTATAGACAGTTCTAGCTTTATACTTACTGAAAGGATAAAGCAAGCGACTCCAAATCGTCCACCGTCAGAGGAAATTCTTTATTACATCAAGGCCTTTTATCCCACAGCAACAGTTAGCACTGGCTGGCAGGTAAAGTTCCTTTGTTTGTTCCCAAGAATTTTGCATTCCAGGAACCCACTTCTCAACTAGAGCAATGGTCGAGTTTGTTTCATCGCTCCATCCACCCATTACGTATATGCTGTCGTCCATTGCGACAATACAGAAATTACTCCGCTGTCTGATCATTGAAGGCATTGTTTGCCACTGGTTGGTTTCTGGATCGTATCGTTCAACTGTTCTCAGTCGCTGCAGACCATCGTTACCACCAATTGCGTAGAGACAGTTATTGAAGCCAATTACACTAACACCACTTCGAATATTCTGCATTGGGGCTAAGAGGGTCCACTGATCAACCTTAGGGTCATAGCACTCCACAGAATCGTAGAAGTGGTGCCCATCAAATCCGCCACACACATATATCTTTCCGTTCAAAGAGTCAGCTCCCGCGTCGCTTCGCACTTGTCTCATCTGGGAAACAAATGTCCAGTTATTCTGTTCTGGATCGTAACGTTCCACCGTGTTCAAGCGATGACGGCCGTTGTGTCCACCCAATGCGTATATGGCATTGTCTAAGAGGCAAGCACAAATGTAGTTACGCTTTTCGTGCATTGGGGAGAGGTACCTCCACGTTCCTGTTGCTAACTCAAGTACTTTGAGCATTTGAGTAGGCCCACTAGAAATATAACCGCCGATTATGTAAATCCTATTCTTGTAAAGCACACAACCCGAATAGGCGTGACCTTCATCTAAGGCTATTCCATCACTGGCAATTCGACGCCATGTATCACTTCGAGAATTGTAAACTTGGATTGCTCTGGAAGGGCCAAAGTTAGGATCGTCTTGATTTCCTTCCCACCCTCCAACCACGAAGATCGCCGCATGTGGAAGACGTGGCCGCTTCAAGTACGTCAGGATTTCAGCATCATCACCAGACTGTTGTGCAGACGGATTTACGCCAGTGGTGTTAGAATCCACGATGGACTGAGCGATAGAGAGAATTCTGCTGCAGTCCTGCTGATTCTCGGAAACATAAATGCTCGCCTTGATTTCATCAAGTTCAGCCGCGGTCAGGCGACCCAGACGTAAACAAGCAAGAAGTCCACCAAAATGAGCACTTCGTTTTATCGGGTCAACCGCGACCCACCGCTCCAGCTGTCTGAAAAGTTCCAGTTCATTTGAAGCATTTAGGGCGTCATCACGAAGGAGGAGCTTTAGTTTGTCAGCTGTCTGTAAAAGAAACTCGTCACTTGAGCAAGTCTCAAGGAAGTGTTTGAGCAGGAAATTTCTGCTAAAATTTGTTAAATCAGGTGCGATATCTGAAATCGGCTCCAGAGCAGTCCAGTAGTCCCAGACATTTTGTGTTGTCAGTTTTTGTTTCATAGCATCAATAAAATATTCCACAAAATCTGGAACTTCAAAGTGGGTTCCCGCCTTTAGAATTGAGACGAGTTGTTTACTATTTAAGGACTTGGTTAAGTCGCATCTTGCCTCTTCAGAGCAATGAGTAAAGGACAACATCATTTCGAATCCGATCAGATCATCATAGTTGACATGTAGTGGCTCTATCTGCAGATCACAAAGACTTCGAGCACGTGCTCGGCGAGGATGCTTCTGTTTTTCATCTTCCCGAATTCGAGATTTTTCGAGCTCACCCCTTCGTAATTCAATTAACTGACGTTTAAAGTAGTCACTGGCCTTTGCCAGTTTAAAGCCACTAACGCGGTGCTCATGGTTACCATTAATAATTACAGTCCGGTCAAGGACATACTCTGGTAGTGTGTACACGAAGTTGCAGTCGCTGCTCATCTCCTACTGGAGGGTTGTTGCTACTTGTACGACCCGCCACGGCAAAACACGCGGTCATGGGTGTTTGAAGTGGCGTGGCATAGATCGATAATAAAAGGAGATACTGCGCCACTACCCGGCTTGATCGTAGGACTGGGTGTTTGAGCCGCAGGTTTTAATGCCACTCTAGGGGACATGGTCGAACTAAGTTTTCCCTATCATCACAAGCACTGTTGGATTACACAGTAGGACACACAGCTTACAATAACGCCCGGAAGTTCCTAGAGACGTCTAGATTCAATGATAGGGTGTCTGCGGTTGGACAACTGGCTGTGATGTAATTTTATTCGTAGCTTTCCCAATAATGCGTCTGACTTAAGATGAAATACAGCACTAACTCCTAAACACAAAAAAACTCGCACATTTTCTGACAACGACGGTTTAAGCATTTTTACATTGCTGACTTGTTAACTCGCTCAGGATTAAAGGTTCTACGCATTCAACATCATTACAACGAAAAACACCAACTGTGTGCTGAACATGTCCAATACGACCTTAGCGCTCACACCTGACGTCGGTAAAGAGGTTTATCAGTTTCATGGATTACATCGGTCAACATAAAGCACGAAAGGGAACAGTGTAAAACGCACTGATGCGCGTGAGTGCCCGGAAATTGATACAGCAAACAACGGCGGAAGAGATAAATGTTCTACAACGCAGCTGCGTTTGATTAATACCGTAAGGCCAAACGTATAAGTGTATCTAGAAGAACAAATTAAACGGCTAGTGTGAGAACACATTCCCAGACGTGATCAATTATTGCTATCACGATTGAAATCCAAAGTCAGTCTAAGCGTTACTAGCAACAACTATTACTACCATGATGTACATTTCCACAGACATGAAGACAGAGGTTATCTATTAGAACTACGTCGTTAATTCTAAAGACTGTCTCTGCACTAAACTATGTGTCTGTAAGGAAGTTACCTTTACTCCGTTTTTGAGTCAAAATTCATGGCAGTAAATGACCTCGGTTAAGTTGTATGATTTTAAGGGAACAAGAAATAGTATTTTGTGGCTCAGTACAACATGCATTACGCAGGTTTTAGATAGAAAATAGGGGCAGTGAAAACGTGAGCGTTTAATCATTCTCCACGCCTTACTTCTCAGCTGCAGAGTGTGATATCGTAGCACAGCATACGCTAATCTACCATACTTGAATCAGTATAAAAGCTTTGAGGTCAACGGTTTATGGCAACCAAGATTAACAACATTGAGACTCTTCACAAAGCATTCGACTTCGTAAACATAATTAACTTTACTCGATGTAACAAATTGTAAGCTTAACATCCAACAATCAAAGCGGTAGATCTCGCTGGTAACTGTCGGGGTATAACACTGAAAGCTGCGATTGTAAGCAGAAAGCACCTAGAATCATAAAGCAAACAGTAGTCCTTGACATTCACACCAGAATGTTTTCGCAATGGCAACGTCAGTCAGCGGTCAATACAAAAGACATACTTACACTGGAAAGTGCAGCGAGTAGTTACAAAATAACCCAACATCTATGACACGTACTAGGATTGGATTGTTCTGTTATTTCCGACACCATTCCAGAACACCCTATAGCTGTGCCCAAATAAAATTTCCCGGGAGATATGTTCAGAGGTTGTTCCATTTTAACGGTTCCTATGACTAGATCCAAGACTGAAAACTAAAGTAGAATAGGTACCTGGAGACAGACTTAATGTTTGTGTACTTAAAACGCAGGCACATCGGTGATTTTGACTACCAAACTGCATTTGGAACAAATACTAATTCATTTCCTAAATCACGAACAACGTACAAAAGAACCCGGGAGTTGGGACTGATTGCCCAACATGGTATTTCCTCATTAGGTAGAATTTCCTTATCACATTACCATGTAGATTCAAATCTTTCTAAATCTTCGTAAGCTCACAGGGCAGTCCAGTCCCTATTTCTGGGGCAGCTCACGTCTTATGATAGACTGAATAACGCATTTGATTGAATTAAGCTCGGACGAAAATAACGCACAGAACATCACAGTCGTGGGAAGGCAAAATGGCTTTTGGAAGCCGTTCCACATTCCAGATGAGCCTAAATGAGTGAAACCTAATATGTATCCAATTACCATTAGCGTGCCTGTCAACTCATTTCACAACAGCCGATGCAGTCCGTAATAGCCCTCTGTACGCTTGAGGGGAATGGACATTCATGCTTACTAAATGGGGAATTAAACAGCCAAGGTAGCCTCAAGGACCAGATTATTCTAAGAGAAGAGAAATCAATCCTCCCACGAAAGCGCTCTCTAGGTCCTCCCTGTTGTTGCCGAAGGCCTCGAGTTGTATCAGCGTGGATTTGTTACATGTTTTAGCTGGGGCCTATTGCGGACGCGCAGAGAAGCAGTCCACCACCAAAATGTCAAATTCAACAGGACGTGATAAGGGGTCGCTTTTTTACTAAATTCTTTTTATGAATAATTAAACGGTCCGACAAATGAAGTGGATCCCCTCCATGTTAACATTCGAAGGCTCCTCGAGACTGGAAATGAAAAAGAATTTTTGTGAATTAAAAATGAATAAAAAAAAAGTAAACAGACGTAGAATTTATTTTGGATAGAAACGTTAATACAAAATGCGCTCGAAGGTTCATGGTGAATTGGTTACCGCCGGCGAATTCTAGGAAGGGCGATGAGTTCACTAAATCAAAAAGGCAGAAATAGATTTAAGTATATTTACAATGTTGATAGAGTCGATGAGTAGTGACTTGGCACTTTTCGACCAAAGACAACAGCAATGAATAATCGACTTAAGGGTAAGGTTCATTTGTATAGTGACATGCAATGCTGGGAAGAGTACCACAGGTAGCTAGAATGAAAACATCAGAACCCCAAATTAACATTTAATGATTGTACACGAGCAAGCTGACCGGGTGCATTTTTTAACAAAAAAAAACAGGAGACTGCCTAATGCGTCCTAGGAGACAGCACGTGCTAAATTGTGGTCGTATTCCATACACTTGCACGGTGGCGCTCGCGAATCAAGAGACAGACTTCATTTTGTGCAACTTACTTACCTTGTCAGAACGAGCAATGAACCTAGCTACTTCAGGCTGGTTTTATCAGACGAAAGCAAAACTACTTATGCGAAACAGATTAAGCTCTTCACCTAGCAATCACCATTGGCCGATTTTTGATCGAAATTTACGCTTGTGTAAACCGTTGCCGATACTGAAAAATGTAAATGGTGCCAAGTGAGCCGAGTGTTGGAGTTTCGTGTGGGATTAACCTCCCTCCACCCTCTTTGAGGCGGAGGCACTCCGTATTAGCAATACTCCGGTTGAAACGAGAAGCTAATTGAGGGCAACTGACGAAGGCAGTGTGAAAGCATCCTGTGCGACGTTTCGCTCTCAAACAAAATCTGCATGCATGGTGAAATAAACGGGATATAACGTATGAGTGGTTGACCCCCGTCGCAGGTTTTTGCAGTATCCACCATCAGAAATTGTGCGACCAGCCATAACTCAAAAAACTGCTGGTAAATGATTTATTATTGACCAAGAAAGACAAATGCTAGCAGATATTTGTAAAAGTATCACCTAAAAGAGGAAATGGGGGAAAATTTTGACCGAGATTGAGCGAAGTGGTTGAGGAATAGGCCCTTTCGTTTTATTGTCACTACATTTTCGTCAGGTTTGAAAAGTAGCTTTTTACTCCACAGAAAAGCTGTTATGGGTTTTCATGAGTTTGCTTTAGTTTAATTTGCTCTACTTCCAGATGGGAGTGGACCCCAAGCCACGCTGGAGCTGGCTGAGCAAATGAATTTCGACGAGATAACTACTTTTTCCACCCGAAATCAATTGACAAGATTCAAAAGACTGAAGCGTGAGTGCTCCACGAGCTAACGGAAAGCCTAAAACATTGGCGCTTAACTAATGTGATCGACTTGCTTGCGCGGGCGCCCATAGATACAAATCAAGGCGCCTGTATCGCATTTGCCCAGGCGACGAAAAGTGATGCCTTTTGCGTAAATTTTAAGCAGAAGAAAGGGTAGTTAGGTAGAGGCAAGGAAGCAACGCCGCGAGCGAAAAAGAATTTCCCTCCGCAAAAGCCGACGATTTGCATATGGTAGGGATCCGATGGCTTAATACACTCGTAAATGCCTGCGCGCAATCAACCAACCGATCACCACCTTTGGGCTGCTCAGTTATGTTGCCTGACCGAGAGTATTCGACAGAAGCAACCTGATTTTTGAGGGAATGTAAATCTGCAAAATGACTACGTCCGACCACACACAATGACAACCAAAATGGCCACTCGGAAATCGGCTGGGAGACCTTGACGCATTTTCCACGCAACTCGGACCTCAGTCCATCCAATAACCACCTTTCTACCGTTTTACAAGCCATTTGAGGCATGACGTTCGAAAACAATGACGGTCTCAAGACTGGTTTGGTAACAACTAAGAAGTTGAACTCGATTCTGTGGAAATGGAATAGACAGATTAATGAAACGGTGAAAGTCGTAAATGACAGCGGAAAACCTATGATCCGTTCATACGAATAAGTTTTTGGACTGATGACGCAACCCGACAGTGTTATCAGTGTAGTAAGGAAAGTGTCTTAAATCAGTTGTCAGGTCGTTGTTCAAAATTTTACATAGCCAAATCGTTATTCCATCAAGGGCTGGAAATCCAAATTGCGATAGAACATGCATACTGGAAACGAAATCCGGTCTGAAGCCACAAGCAGTGAAACGTTTATCGGGGGCGGGGATACAAAATGGACGCGATGATCCGCATTGCATACAACGTACTTATGGCACATGCATACCACGAACTCACATACACAACACAACACCTGAGAATGTTTACCGAACTTACTACCACGAGTCACCATTAAGGATTTGTGAGTTCTTTAGTCCACTTCTTGGGCACAAAACAGGTACGTTAGCCTTGGTGTAAAAATGACATTCGTACATAACACTTACTTGAAAAGCATATCTATTTGAGCACTATGATCGTCTCTTGGTTGATCCAATGTATCAATGTTGCAAGTACGGTCTTCCGCATCCAACTTGGAACCTGGTAAAAATGGTGCAAGGGTCACTTTGGCGGGTGGTTGGGGAAGGGAAGGCTGTTCGGGGATGTTTGCGTCATGTTTGTAGTAAACAGGCCAAACCTGGAAAAGGGAGAGTCGAAGATCGGAAAGTGACAACTTCAACACAAAAATATATGAGAACGTGGAGATAAGATTGAGCGCCACTTTTGTGTACATATTCAAGGGAGTCATTATCCACGTCGAACGCACTGAAGCTATAGGATGGGTCACAAAGCAGCTCATAGCAAACTACTGTGGGCGTGGACCAGAGGCAAACAAATACTCCCACAAGTTATGTCCCAAAAGCAAGGACGTTGGCTAAATTAATCTCCATTTGGCAGCCTTTTAAATCTCTTTAAGTGACGGATAATAAGTAATTTTTCCTTGAATCCCTACTAGTACTCAAAGCACCCTCGAGCTTGGTCGAAATCCATAGCCTTACATTATGTAGTGGCTACCTCTCAAAGTCAATATTGATAAATGCAATGCACACAAAATCAGCATAACCCCCGATCCAAGAGCTTTACCTGCTTCTGAAATGACGTCAAGCGTTCAAGTTGCTAAGGCCTAAGTACTTCAACCAAGGATGACTGAAAGCCTAACCTAGCGAACCTCCCTCGACAATGGCTAAATGACCACGAATATGCGTTTAAAAAAAACCTTTTGCCAATGGATCTCATTCTATGTTTTGAAAGCCAAAGAGGAAAACTAAATCTTTTAACGTTGACATGTAAAATAGCGAATACGTTCAGCAGAAGCGGTTTTCCAGGCGGCACCCGGTTTTTCTGTTCGAAAGAGCATGAACAACACAACACAAAACTAATGTAAGCCGATATCAGAGGCTATGCAATTAAGTGCAGCCACTTATAATTGCGGAGTAATGTAGAATGCTGTGAGTGAATAGAGGTGGGTGAAAAGGAAGGGATTGTGTAAACCAGCAGAAATACGGTTGAAAATCAACAACTTCGGTAATGTTACACTAAATATCAGCTGCTTATTTGATGGTAGTTAGAACGTGCTAAGACCTCAAGAGAGTCAAAAAGTGCTTCTGCTCAACATGACCATCACAAGGTAAATTGGTTTTAAGCACACCGCAAGGAGCCTCGTAAACTACAAATATCGCAGATTTTCCTCTCGGGGTATTTCAGCCTGTCCTATAACCACGCGGAATGTGACAAACTGGCCAAAAATCCAGGGGGTCGGTCTTTAAAGGGCGATTGTGTACCGGCCGAGGATTTTGTAGCGAAAAATAAGTCTAATTTAGTGCTATTGGTTAAGAGTGGCACCAAGGACACTTTTAACGGTTGCCACATCACGTCTGCCTTTTTTACAGTTGAGTGCACCTACAGACAAATTTGCTTTTCAGAAAAACGCTCTCCGGTCCGCCAGAAATAGCCCTGCACAGTTGCCGAAACAGTTCATTTGAGAATTCGACTTCTCACGATAAATGACCTTAAAGTTAAGATTCCTCAGCACTGTAACCGATCGAAAATGCAAGTGGTTTTAATGACGCTATGGTAGAAAGCAATGATGGGTGAACAAGAATACTTACACAGACTGACAAACGTAGCCAAGAGAGTGAAACAAGTTAATCCCAGAGAGAAAACGAGGGGAAAAAGGGTGGTAAAGTCGGGGTGAAATGCATGACGGGATTTCCTTCATGCCTTTTATTGCGTGGGGCAGCGTCCTGAGCACATTGCTGTGGCTGAAACTTTTGCTTTGTGCAGATACCAAAAAAAACGTTACGATTCCGGCTTAGTTGTGCGGCAACGTAAGCAGACATCAGTCAAAGTGGTGTTCCAATAAACAGGCAATGGAAAGCTATTCTAGCCGATTGGACAATTAATCACGACCGAATAAGTCGGTAGCATTTAGCGAACGCTACAGCTGGACTGTTATCAATTGGAGTCAAGTTGGAGAGTCACTAAAAATCAACTATAAACATGGTTTATCATTCCAAAATGTCGTAATTCCCGGTTTTCAATTGTTAATCGAAAGCGATGGTCACCTGGACAGAAAGGTACGCTATAGCAGCCGTGTGCAAAACGATGCACGCGTCGAGGCCTGTTGACTTTCAAAAAAGAACAAAAATAGGAGAATTAACAAAAGTGAGAACGACACAGAATATACCGATGGTTTAGGAGACCATCGAAAACGAGACACCATTAAAACGTTCAAGAGGATGCTTAGCCGAAATTAATAGACTATTCAGCAAGTAGGATGATAGAAACAAGAATTTAATGAAGGAAATGAAGATGTGGATTAAACTTAAAGACTAATCGACCGATTACCTAAATTAACTTGCAGCTTACGACAAACTGATTGCCTAACCTCAAGTATGGCAAAAGGCTAATTGAAGGGGAAGGTTTTCGTTAGAACAAGTTATCAACCTTCACATACTCTTCTTACTGACGTGGATTTTAATCTGCGAAAAAAGGTGTGATATGCAGCACAAGTAGGAAGCCGTATAACGGTAGCGATTGGTCGCCGCAAGGTGAAGTCACAGTGGCTTGCATCTCGGTCAAGACGACAGTATCCGATCAGCTAATCGACACGCTCATTTTGAGCCCCCCCCCGTCCCTCGCCCAATTAAATGGTTGGGTTAAAATGCCGCGCTCAAGGACTCACATGCATGACCAGTGCTCATTAATTGGCCGACTGGACCCAAACTTCACCTCAATAGTGTTGCAGGGGCCGTGGCAGCAGTGGCCCATTTGGCCCAAAACGGAACAATTCAATTGCTTCGCAGTTAACGTAGTATCATTATGGCTGATCTAAAAAAACGGTCTAAAATCATTTAAACTTAACCAGACAATCTACATCTGTGCCTTTTAGCAAATTAGACAAAATTTACCCTAGCATGAACACTGACCATGCCATAGCACCTACACATCGACAAAGTTTTGAAGTAGCATCATTTAGCGCTCCGGAAATATTGCTACCTGGGAATATTAACTAACGAAAGTATTTGTATCGGTGATATTATCTAACAGCTCAATTTGAATCACGGAGAAAAAACCTAGTCTGTAAAATTATAACGTGCTTTGGATGTATCCCCGGTCCCAAATGTCAACTAGTTGAAATAACGTCGATTAGAAAAACGAAGCGGCGTTAATTTAGGCGGCGCGAGACTTCCTCCCATTGACAAGAAACGAAGTGCTACCATAAAATGTACTGTTTAGAAATCCCTAATACAATAATTTCCTCAAGACCGCAAGTTTTTCCAAGGAGAAAACAAAGCCAACAGCCGTTCGCCTTAAAGCGCACACTAACCTTCGAAGTGTAGGATAATTTATAAAGGTAGAAGAGACTGTCTTAGTCATGCCGCTGCACCCCGTGACAAGAGTTTGTTAGACACGCCATGTTGAATTCAATCTTAGACAAATGTATGCATCAAATATGCAATTTAAGTTTTTTTTACACTAGGGAAATTTAGCAACACAAGTATTAACCATGACTACTATCCGGCAGGGGACAAGGTTTAACTTTCTCAATAATTAGATCTGTCGCAGACTTCAATTAAGAGCTGTTTTCGATGAAAGTTATCAAAATTGAATTACCTTGCGGAAAATTTTAAAACTGGGAGTTGGACGGCCATTTGGAGGCGGATATTTCCGGTGAACCTGGTTTACCAGCGCGCAGAACTGAACTTTTACATTTACGCAAATGCTTTCCGAAGAATTAATCTACAGATCGATAAAATAAAACGGGTAAGAACGATTAGCAAAGCACCAGGCTCACGTAAAGTGAGTCCGCTTGGCAAAGTTTAATCCGAAATGGTTTGGGATTACCGGGCACTTACAGCGAAATTTCAATTTATGAAAAAGGAATTCGTCATTAAACAGAAAAAGCACACACGTCCAGTAACGACCATTGAAATACATTCCAAATCCCCAAGTAAGCTTCAAGACGAGATACGTCGATGTCGATAAGCTTCTTTACAGGCACAACCGGCATCATATCAAATTGAAATCGGTTCCCCTTCCTCACAATCACATTTGCGTTTGACGGGGCCACCACTCGTCACCGCACAAGGCGCTCGCTGCCCTATCCCATGCGTGGGTACTCTCAAAGCAAACTTTAAAGTCGCCAGTTTTATGGATCATGCGAACTGTTGTTCTGCAGTTAAATTCCAAAGTTATTATCAGCAACATAGAACTAGGTGTGACGCACGCAACTAGTAGCAACCCACCACTCTTTTATTCGACTAACCTAAGTACGTTACATTTAAACCACCCACTAAATTGTGTAACAAATTCTCCGCACACGGAATAAAGACAAATTTGAAGACTAAACACCATGTGACACGCTTCAAGACTACCGCAGTGCGCAGATCTACATGCTTCCAAATACTGGCCGGAAAGTGAACGGTCTTTCACAACCTTAACCTACAGACTTGGTTAGCGGAAACGGAGCAATGTAACATGAAAGCTAGTATGTTGGTTGGGTGTGTCGTGAGCCATGATAACACTTCCTTTTAGCAAGAAAAGGGTTAATACCTGACACTGTGATGAAACAGAATCACGTTTGGGGTCAAAAAGAAACAATTCACGCCCAGCGCTTGTCATCAGAACTATTAAAAAATCACGCCTCAAGTAGGTCAACAACAATGAAAAGCTTCTTGTACTAGTTTAAAAAATCAACGTTTTTGATTTCTATGTTACTTTTGTAGAGCAGACAGTTCGGGCGGGAGGAAAGGTGTTCAGACAGGTTGTTTTGGCAACGGTGGGTGGGTTCCGGGGGAGACCTTAAACGCCTTTCGCCTCGCCACGTGCGACCGGGACTTCCGACGTGGGGCTACTCTCTCAAACGCAGTTGGACATGCTAAGTATAGAACTTCACTAAAGCACCGAGGCGCGACAGCTTTTCAACACTTATTTTAGTCCCGATGTCTAAGTGCACCCCGCAGGAGAACAGTGCGGCACATAAATTTGAACTTTAGTGACCATGTTCAAACACGAAATAGCACACGTGCACAACAAAAAAAGTGTTCTTCCATTTGGCAGGCAAATTGTCGCCCTGTCTGTCGTAAGGCAACATAGTTACCAACTCACTAAGTCACTTACGTTGACTTCATTTTCGGCGCCTTCATCTCGGGAGGCAATCTGTAAGCAAACAAAATGTTACTCGCTAACAGAGCACAGCGTCGATCAAATGCTATTCAGTAAGATTTTGAGAACCTTTCGACCAAATTCCTTAGACAAGAACCCGTCTGTTCTAAGTGGATGGGGAGGAGGCTGATGGTCATGGGGAAGGTTCTCCTCATCCTGTGCCGTAGATGGTGGGGATTTAGCATTATCACTCTTCATGAGAAGCAAGTCGGAAGGCTCTGAATCAAAATCTTCGGGTTGGGGTGCTACAAGTGAGGAAATATAGTAATAAATTATGATAATAAGTTTCGTGCATTCTTCTAGACAGTCATGTGTATGCTTAAAACTTGTTCAATGTATAAATATGGAAACTCCTGAAAAATGCGCCAATTTCACCATAAATTCGGTTGTGTTCAATTAATCCTAAAGCGACATAAGGTAGACATTGAGAGCTAACAGCCCACTATTTCCAAATAAGCGTATGCTCAAAGGGTGATGGTCATCTGTGTCAAAAGAGTATCTACGGCCCCCTAGGCTCATTCCCTAACAATAGCGCAAGCAACTTCTAACGAGGCCGTCTATTTGAAGAGGGCAAATGTGCACAGACACCAAAGTATGGTAGGGAAACGACACACGTTGGCGGAAGACAGGGACTAGTACGAAAATGAGTCGCGAGAGAAATTTCAAAAGCCATTCATTGGTATTCGCAACTGAAAAAGGCTAAAACGTTATTTGGTTGTTGCATACTTGCTACTTCTTAATCTTTAAGTAAACGATGCTAGAAGGGCACCGATGTCCGACGAAAAGACGCCAGAACATAACGCACAACAATCAGATTAACAAAAAAAACTAGTTCGCCGAAGGAGGCTGGAACGCACGGCCCAATATTACGTCAAGAGTGATAACACTGAATTGAAGAGAACCACAAATACAACCAAACCATAAAGTCAACGGAAGCAGACTTGGACGAGTGCAAACTTCACAATAGGACCTAAAAAGCGAGTCGTCGGGTCCCAGACGACAAGCTCACATCAGCAAGACTTTGCACTTGGCAAATACAATAATTGCAATCCTCTAATGTGACACGCTTGACAGCCGATCAGTCTGCTGAGCAGTGGCAGAACTGACAGGCCAATCTTGGGCTTTATGCCAATGAACCATTCAGTTACCGATTGGGCATTTATTTGGTAATGTGATCTCATTCAGTCTAACTCGTTTATTTAATCGAGAACGTAAATGACATTCATTGGAAAATATTTTAGTGTCTTTCACAAGGCATGTAAATTAATCAAACCGAACAACAGGGCACCAGGAGAGTTTATTTGTGTATTTCGACCAGGAATTCAAGTAAAATATTGTGAACTGCATTTAGAGAGGGAGAGAGAACGGACATCTATGCTGTACTTCAAACGGACGATTTAATTCAATAAAAACTGATTTCAAATACTTAAAATTTAGGTGCTAAGTTTTTAGTAACAGCTCAAATAGTCGATTTCTCCAATAAAAGACCAAAAGCACAGTGAAGATAGTTACGATGTTTTAAATCACCCCTTCACAAAGAAGAGGCAACGTTGAATTAATTATGCATGAGTTCCTTGTATAACAAAAATTTTTCTGCAATAATTCCAAGGACCTGCTGGCAAGAAATTGGAGCATGTTTTTTTCTACTAAAAGTTAAGTACACACAGATAAGAGGGCTCTGGATTGATCCAAACAAAAGGTCGTCAGACAATGAAATATCTAAGATGCGTCAGATGTGCTAAAACTCTTGCAGGTGGGCCAGTGTCAAATATTCTCGTAGCAAAGCACAGCGTCCCCTCTGCTCCTCAACTCGGGTCTCCTGCTCGAAATTAGCCTCATTCAGTGTGATGAGTTGCGAGTTGCGTCGAATGAATTCGAAAGCACGAATCGGGGATAGCAACTCGGTCGGTTAATTTACATTACATGAAACGATTTAGCGTAATTCAGTCCCGAACACTCATGCTAATTGATTCCTACTAACGTCTACGTATTCAGCCTACTGTTAAATGACTTAAAACAAACAGTGGCCAAAGTGCGAGACCCTTTATATCTCAATGAACGCGGAAGGCTGCAATATCGTGGCCGCCTCAAAGTAAATCACAGATTGGTTGCACACAATCTAGGCTGGGACGTATCTTCGACATTCTGATTTCACTATCCAAGCCTTCAATAACTTCCCTAGCACGTAAAATCATGTGCCGCAGTATGTGCAGTAAAATTTTCCACGGCTGTGTGACGTCCCTTTACCTTTTTTGCCAACAACAAGACACACCTGATGAAAATGCACTGAACATAGTGGCACGCTTGAAAGGCCGCAGAAAACGCTGCTGTTCAGTGACGAAAAATAATGCCTTTTTAAAAGAAAAGTCACATTGAGACTCAAAAGTGAAGGACTACATCGACTTGTCTTAGGCCTAATTGGAGTTTAAAGACGATGCGGTCAAAAGTTATTGCGACAGACCTAGACCATGTGATGGCACTCATTTCAAATACCGGATCTTCGACAAGGACTATGGAATGCTTTATTCTATCTCACTTTGTTTCCGCGAAGTGACTGGTATAACTAAGGAATCAAGCAAATTTCCCTGCCACGTCAATGAATGCGCGAAACATGCAACCATAACATGTAAAATCGCGACACAATATTACTAAAATGTTTTAAAACAAATAAAAAAAAGTGGCAATTAGTATCACCAACACCCAAGTATTGTTGGTGTTGTGCATTAGACGAAAAGGTCCCCAATCGATGCCAAGTACCTACATGTAATCGAGTCAGTTTCAGGCAAACCGTATTCATTCAGACCGAAGAATTGTGCGATTTCCAGCTAAAGAGTGCCACATGGAAGAGGAGAGGCTTACTCGGAATGTTGCTTGCCTTCCTCCCGGTCGCAGCACTCGCCTCTCCATCGACGTGGGTTAAAAGTCCAGAAGAAGCCACTTGCAAGCCTGACTGGTTTGCTTTTAACACGGACGATTTGTATTGTTTCAGTACCGTTGAAAACGAAGGCAAGGAGCCGAATGCATTTAGTACCGACTCCTCATGGGCTTGCTCACCTAAAAAAGCAAGGTGAGCAGCACTATTTGGCAGGAAGTTCTTCAACCTTCCCAATTTCGCGACAGATAGTATATCTGGAAAAAATACAATTTGCAGCGCAGCTCGTGCCCGAGTGAGGCATCTCAAAGTATGACTTGAATACAGCACAAAGTATACCTTTTAGAGACACACCTCTACGTGGTGGTTTATACAGACCTTACGCAAGTTTGAAAATCGATGGAAAAAACCTTGTCATAGAAGAACTGAGGTCACGTGAATTCGATTTCCAATCTAAAGACTTTAGTACAAAAATTTAATATTGTTTTTTAGTGGTGCGAAAGAAATTTCCTAACAAATCGATTTATAATAGCCCAACGATAGCGATTGCCTGTTACAACAGTGGTTTTATACAGACAGTTAGACGACGTTGCCTTTTTGTTTTTAATTTTACGAGGGTCCAAAAATTACGAACATTTATACGCCTTTTCTCAGTTGAAATGTGATACCAGTAATACCATAGTTGCTTAATCCAGGTTCCATTTTGTCCGTCACAATTACCTGAACCGGCGCACAAGTGAAACTATTCAGGAACAACAAGGTGCAAAGTGAGGAATTTGCAAGCATTCTATGATTCTTGCTAAATGCCATCAAATATGATGGTCCTTTAAATTTCTAACCAACCCCTCAAGAGCTCGTTTCCAAAAGTAGCTGCACTGTATTACTAGTGGCTTACTATTCTCGAAAGATTTGTGAGTGCTAAGTGGTCGCATTTTTTCCCAATGGACATATGATACGACTAATACCCTAGGTGCTAAATCCAGCTTTCATTTTGTCCGTCCGCGTCAAATTATTCACAAACAACAACTAGTACATATAAATGGTCCAATTTTACTAACAAAAGTGCAAAACTAGGGTTCGACTTTACTGCGGAAAAGTCAAGCATATGTCACCATTACCAATTGACTTTAAATAATCGACCATGCAAATGATCTCGTTGATTTTCTTCCATTTGAATGCGTCACTACATGGAGCACAGGATAAAGACCACAATTTGACAGCTTGATGGTTGCATCACAGTGCATCAAAACCCAGGCGAGCTTAAAATAACCCCAAAGTTAAGCCAATACGCAACTAGCAGCCAAGTTACAAAAATGATGTCTTCTATTTACACAAAACTGGGAGTCGTGCAGTTATAGACGTGGATGAACGTGCAAAATACTTATCACGGAACCCTATATGTCCGGCCCTAGTCACCTATCTTCTCAATGGCAGGAGGGAAGTGGCTTATTGTGGTTACCGTGACAAAGCCAAATCGTACACTTAGCGTTTTGCCGCAAAGAAAAAAAGCCAACACTATACGGTTACCTAACGAGGAGGCGGGGCCACACATTCGCTAGTGAATGCATCAGAATAACGGGAATTCGCTTTGGTGTGATCAAGTCAGATGTGCTCATCCGTGTGATTGTCTGTAAGATAAATCACCTCAATCGTTGACTGACCTGGGCGCTTGTCTTCGCACTCAAGACCACGAGGTTCGACGGCAGGCGATTCGAAGCCACGTTTGGGTGCACACTGACAGGTATCCTTCTCGCCACCCTCACCAGGAAGGTTGCAAAGCTCAACCGTGGAGGAATTATTTGCTTCGGTGTCGGGAACAAGAACGTGTGACTTTGTGCCACTTGTCTGCAAATGAAAAAGGCACTAATAAAGCAAACCTGGTATAATTTCCACTGCCAATTAATGTCCGCGCGCCAGTAGGTTACT